CTTTGATTTTATAATTTTTTAATTAAAATAAATTTTAAATATACAAATAACGTATTAAAACAACTTAGTTCGGAGATTGCCTCTTTATTGTTGAAGTGATAGTTTTGATTTGGAAAATTGACCTAAAAGGATACCTTCCAAAGTTGGCGTTGCGTATGATTTACTGTTCATTCAATTCTTACTAATCTATAATTTATTATATATATATATATATGTATATATTTTTATCATTTAATTAATAATATATATATATATTAAAATTAAAGAAGAATTAAATAAAATACAATCCTCTCTAAATAAAAACAGAAATTATAGATGGGTATTATAAATATTTATAATTAATACAATGTTATAAAGGTGGTGAGTGATTGAATTTTGCATGTCAACATAATTTTTGATGACTTTTTTTTTGGGGTGAAATTAATTGGATTTCTAGAAACAACATTAATTTTCAGGCCCAAGTAATTAAGATCTTCTTACATATATATATATATGTACACATACATATTCATATACGTGTGTGTCTATATATATATATATATATATCACATTGACTTCTCGTCTCAACAAAAATTAATGAAAGATTTATCCGCACCCCACTTGTAAGTCGAAGAGATTATAAATTTGAATTTCAATATACAATTTTTTTCATATCCTAATAAAAATATTATACTATAATTTAGTATTTATGCTTGTTTTAATTAATAAAATATACGAATTTTTATTATAAAAAAAAACTCAGTTTATATATATATATATATATGTATATAATGGTGTATATATAATTGTTAAAGGTCAATTTGCATGAAAGATTTGATGTTTACTCCACTATGCACCTTAGAATTTATTCTTTATATATGTAAATCATGTCAAATATATGGTGTATATAACTATGATACAAGGGAAAGAGCATTTTAGCCACAACCATGGAGGAAGGAACGTGTAGAGAAAGTGCTATGCAATAGTAACTCAGTGAACTCGTAAGGGTTTTTAAAACTCTTCTCGTTGATCTGGGTTGCTCGACTAAACTCTGTGTTTTATGAAAATACGAAATGTATTGAAGTAGATTGTTACTGTATTCGTCAGTAATTTTAATATAAGAACAACACGTATATACATATACAAACCAGTGACCAACTTGCACGTGTATTCACAAAATTCTGTCATTTACTCGATTTCGCCGACTTTTGAACAAGTTCTGGTCCGTCAATTTTTGGATCCTGCTCGAAGGAGAGTGTTAAAAAGTTATTTTTATGAATATTCCAATATTACATGATTACATGCTATGTGTATTTTGTTCTTTTAAACTCAAATTCCTATATATATATATATGCATGTATTTTTTTAATACAATAAAAAGAATATAGTGATTTTTCATAAAAATGTTTCTTCATTTTTTTTATTGGGCCGGTTAAATATAAATATCCCTTGAGATGGTTTAATTCTTTTCAAATGGGCTTGGGCTTAATTGCTACGGCCTTTTTTAAGTACGTATATATATATATACATATATGCCGGCTAGCTATATATATATATATATATATATATATATATATATATACTTTCACTAATGAAGCCATATACCTAAAAAAATATAATTAATGCTGCATAAAAACAATATTATCTTAGCACGGCTGCCATGCATGTTCTACGTTTAGGTACATGCACACATACCTAATTCCTAGTTTTGTTTCTCTAATGTTTTTGATATTATACAATTTTTTTATTACTAGTTTTGTTATATCTATACATATATATGTATATATGTATCTATACAAAGTTGGGGTATATATATATATATATATAGAGATATAGAACGTATACAATTTGACAAATGAAGATTGTAGGAAGGAGTCCGGTGTTGCCCGCAGCACAAATAATATACATGTACACTTCATCACTTACGTCAGAATCCATTGTATTAAATTAGGGTGACACTGATTTCCTGTGGGCCCATGAGAAATGACACGTGGCCCGCGTGGATGCTGACGTGTCCTGAATCAACGCCATGATTTTAATGCGATCTCCTCACCTACCGTGTGTGCAAAATTTATTAACGTTTAAATTTAATTATATCTAAATAATAATTTATTAATATATAAAGTGGTAATTTTTTTTTGTATTGATAAAATAATACTATTGTATATTTGAATATATTTTTTATTTTATATATATTTTATTATATATAATAATAAATATAAATTAAAAATTAAAATATATATTATTAAATATAGAAATATATAAATATATAATTAAATATATACGTACATATATAATTAAAGATATATATAATTAAAATATTATATACATGTATAATAAAAATATATATATATATATATACATGTATTTATATATTTAGTTAATTATATAATGTGCTGGAAACTCAATTATTTATAATTATCTTTTAGTAATAATTTAAAGATAAAATTGTAATAGCTTTAATTAGAATTCGAATAATTATAACTTTTTAAATAATTTTCATATCTAATCATATAACGAGGTTAGAAATTAGTAAAAATCATCTTTTTTTGGGATAATGCAATTTTTTTCTGATAAAATTAAATCAAATTAAATTTAAAATCTGTAAATAAATTTCGTATTGAATTAAAAAAAATAAAAATACGAAAATATATTTTAATCTAAAATTAATAGAATATTCGCGTAGTACAGTATATCTTCAAAATCGATACACGAAAATATACGTATTTAAGTTCATATTTAAAATTTAATGTATTAAAATTTATAACGGTTTAATTATAATTAATTAAATTCGTATTAAACACATTTATTGATTTTTTTAAAAAAAAAACCAACATTTTCACGTGTGATTGATTTTGTTAAGCCCTCTCCCAAAATAACTCTTATTTTATTTATTACATTTATTTCGCATAAATTATTATTTCCGCCACGTCACGTGCTTCTCTCCGCCGCCAGATCAGCTTACCCTCAGCTTTGACCTTTCCAAGTATGATCCTTCCCCGGATAATCTTTGCTTACGTGTCATCCTCATGCTTTGATATAATTACTAATTATTATAATCATATCTCCTCATAAACACAATTAGAAAATGTATTTAATCCTAATTATAATAATCTAATCCCATTTATAATTAATTAAAATCAATTAATTACATGTTATGGGTTTGACACAATGTCAAAAATGAACTACAAGAGTTGTAAGAGATTATGTTCCATACAAACTCCTATTTTGACCTCCGGTTTAATTTTAGTCTTTTTCGAACGTATTACATTAAAAAATTTTAAATTTTCGTACGATTATAATAAATTTTGTAATTTTAAAAAAGTATAAAAATATATCGTTTTATAAATTTATTATGAGTCGATAGTAACTACATTGTAAATACTTTTTTTAAAATTTTTTGACTGAAATCGAGTGTATTATCTATTTTTATCAGTTTAATATCTTATACGTCACGTGATATTAAATTAATTTTTAGAGAGAAATGGGTCACTGTAATTAAAATTTAATTTATTAGTATATGAAAGTTGGGATTGGATTAAGTAAATACGATGTATTTAAAACTTGATTTAATTTTATAAATTTTTTTTAGAATATATATATATATATATACATTAATTAGCATTTTAAAAAAAAGGTAACAAAAACGTGGAGAGCAATGTACGCGGCGAAAGGGTACTGTTCTAACATGTCGTCTTCCTAATCCACTTCTTTCTCTATAAGTACCAAATCAAAGCTTTACAGAACCTAGATATCACGCATGGCTTCTCCTCAGGACCTGTCCGTCATCCTCCCCCGTGTCCTGATCGTCTCCAGGCGCACTGTTCGCAAGAATAAGTTCGTGGATTTTGTCGGTACGGCCGTTTTCTTTCTCTTTCTCTCTCTTCATCCATTTTCATATATACGTATATTAACATTCTGTGTTTCTCCATGTTCAGGCGAATATCATCTTGATCTCATAGTCGGGTATGGTGCAGTACCAGTCATCGTCCCCCGAGTCAGCGGAGTCCACATGTTACTAGACAGCTTCAAGCCAATCCACGGCGTTCTTCTCTGTGAAGGAGAAGACATTGATCCTTCTCTCTACGAGGCAGACACAACGAATCTTTCCCCCGAGGAGTTAGAAGAAATCGGAAGACTCCATTCCAGCGACACCGCTATTGACAAAGAAAAAGATTCTATTGAGCTCAGACTCGCAAAACTCTGCCTTGAAAGAAACATACCTTATTTGGGCATATGCAGAGGGTCACAAGTTTTAAACGTTGCATCCGGGGGAACCCTTTATCAAGATATTGGGAAGGAGCTCTCTGGAAAGTTGAAGGAGAATCAGAGAGTGATGCATATGGATTATGATAACTACGACGGGCATAGACACTTGGTGAAGGTGGTAAAGAATACCCCTTTGGATAATTGGTTTAAAGATTCGTTACAAGAAGATAAAATGGAGATTTTGGTTAATAGTTATCATCATCAAGGTGTCAAGAAATTGGCTCAACGTTTTGTTCCGATGGCATTTGCCCCTGATGGTTTGATTGAAGGGTTTTATGACCCAGATGCTTATAATCCCCAAGAGGGTAAGTTTATAATGGGTCTGCAATTTCACCCGGAAAGAATGAGACGACCCGACTCTGATGAATTTGATTATCCCGGCTGCCCGGCTGCTTACAAGGTTCGTAACTTTCTTTTTCGTCCTATTTGGTGTATAAAATTGAGTTGTGTTGATGATCAAACGACGGTAAATTGATGAAATGATCAGGAATTTGTAAAGGCGGTGCTTGCTTATCAGAAGAAGCTGAACAGTTCAACATCTGTTCCGAAGTCTCTGAAACTGAACAGAGATATGGAGAAGAAAAGAAAAGTTATAGTTCGAAGTTTCTCACTCGCAAAAGACATGTACATCACCGGCTGCAACATGAACCCGTCGGACCTCCAAGCCGGAGCAGAATTTCTCGAGGTAGGGGGGGGGGTTAAAGAACTCTGTAATTTTGCATGAATTTGTTGATTAAGAAAATGGGCTAAACTAATGTTAATTCTTGATTGATTTCAGTCGAATACAGCACTGA